ACCTATTCCATGTCTATATAGATCCATGTATCTCCATGCTTTTTGGGCAAATCTTCTAATTGTAATCAAAGGCACAGGATCCAAGCTTTGGGGAACAGTTTCTTGTAATCCAGTCCATGAGTAATTGCAATTTTCTCTGTCATGACATTTAGCAGCTCCCCAATACCTTTCAATGAAATTTAACTCAGAGTGAAATTTTGGCTAAAAGATACACTTATACCCTGCCCTTTCAATTAACTCCTGAATTGTACCTTTTTGTGCTTGAAAATCTGGTTCAAGGGAAATGATTTTTTGTGCACAGCAATTCACTCTAGCTTCACCTGCAACTTTTTTTTTTACAAATTTTACATTCAGCTAACAACCATTCATGCCATTTCCCTCTCTCAATTAATATTTGTTTCATTCATTTAGGTTCTCCACATAATGATTCTACAGAATAATCACCTGGAAAAACCATATCTTGTGATTGATTATTTGGCCCAAAAAAAGTCTGTTGCATTTTAGGCTGCTTGCCACCAGGACCAAGGTTCATTCATGAAGCCACAAGTGCATCTTGACTAAATGCAGCATGGTTTAAACTGTTGTCAAAAGCAAATACTGCAATACAATTAGGATATAGGGCCTCAAATATTGGAATTGCTTTTTGTCCAATTTGTTGAAGAAGATTTTCAGAGGTCAGTAACCTTCTCTATTTTGCCAGGTTTTAAATAACAATATGCTTTTTTTGGAATGCTTGGATATTTTTCAACTTCATCAAATGGTATTTGTAATCTTCCATTTATTTCAGTTAAAAATTCACTAACTAATATTGACCTTCCATTACCTTTTTTCCTTAAGGGCATTTTTCCATCTTTGATCCAAATACCACACCTTCCATCATTTGAATAGAAAATGCATTCATCATGAGTAACAAGTATTCTCTCTTTTTCTCCTTCTGTCAAATTAGGCTGTACACAATCCATATTTTCACCTTCATACTTTGACATAAATTTTTTATGCTCAAAAATCTCTTCCAAAAATTTTTTACAACATCATCATGTTCATGACTATCATAATAAATGCCTAGATGATATCTTTGATATGAATATCCTAAAATATTAAGCCAATGTCTTGCTGTTGTCAAAGATATTTTCTTTTTCTTGGCAATTCCAATATTTGGAATAAATCTTGTTCTATATATTCTTTAAATTTAGGAGCAGTGACATTGAAATTCTGTTGACATACCCAGCTTTGACACTTTTCTGCAATATCCTCATCATCTACAAGTCTAATTGTTTTTTTATGTTTACCTTTATTTGATAGTGGAAGTTTATTATACCTTAACCAATAATTAGTAATCTTACGAATTTGACATGCCTTCCAAGGACCACCATCAACATACACCAATTTTGCTACTTCCAAACTTGATTTTACTTTGTTACCATTGTTCTTTTCAACAGATTTCAAATATTCATATATGGTTCTCTTTTTATTATACTCACCAGCTATCATATTATGCCATTTATCCAATTCAACTTTTAAGTCCTTTATTTTTTTGTCAATACTATTATTAGACCATATATTATCATCAAATCCATTTGAACTTTCTATTAAGATTTTCATTTATTTCTGAAGATGGATTATTATGAACTGGAAAATAAGTTGTAATCTTACTTGCACTAGCTGCTGCCTTTGTAAATAAACCATTTGGGCCCCATTTATCATAAAATGTTGATTTTGGAACTTTACCTTTCATATATAAGCCTCTTTTCTTTTTTCCAATTCATTATTGTCAGTCCAAGTCAATTTAAGTTTTGAACTAATTAGTCTATCTCTACATTTTTTCTCTTGTTCTAATTCTAAATCACTTTCCCATCCACCATCCTCATCATCACCCCATTCACCTTCTTGCAGCTCAATTTCTTCCATATCATTATCCATAAATGTTTGAAAATTACTTACCTCAACATCTTTTAATAAATTCAAATCAATTTCAACACCAGAGTTAACTTCTATTTTTGATTTTTTTGAGCCAAACTTTCCATCTAATTCTCTTGATTGATTTTTGATTTTCTTTTTTGTTTTGAAGCTAGAGGCATTTTTAAAGTTCAAATTCAGTCAAATAATGAAAATAAAAATATATAATTTATTGAGACGTGTGTATTATATAAAAGAATCAGGCATCCCTATTGGACAGACATAAATTTGTCCCTGAAAATCTAGTCTGAAATTTTACAAACAATTAATAAAATACTATAAAATACCCCAACTTTGAACTCTAATAACTTTTTTAAAAATTATGTTAATACAGAAAGTAAACTGATAAAATAAAATAACATTTCTCATTCTTTCAGTTTATCAGTTTACTTTTTGGCTGTAACACAAATTGAAGGAGTAGACGCAGTTAGAAGTTATGCTATAATTGTTTATGACTCTAAATGACCAGCACCATACCAATAAAGAATGCCAAACACTACTTCAACTTCACAAGTTGCACATATGATGACTATGACAATAAATACTCCAAATATCCCTTCAATTTATTACTTATCTCCATCTGGATTCAAAGTACATAATCCAAATCTTGTAGACTCTAATAGTTTAATATATTATTTATATAATACATATATGAACAAATTTAGTGTTAGTTATATAAATAGAAAATCATTTTGGTCAGTTCCAGAAATGACTCTCTTACCTGAAAAAGAATTAATAAACACATTATCAATTCACTCATACAATACCAACTGGATTCAAGAAGATATGTATAATATACGTACAATGGATTGTGTTAAGTTGATTGAATTTCAAGAGTTGAATCTTAAATCACTGGATGATTATTTAAAAGCAGCAAATTTTTATTTCAATTTTCTGAAATTCAAGATTATATTCAAACAAATAATCCCAATATCAGCTGACTGGCTTGGACAGCCCTGCACAAAGTTTAGATACTTAAAATGCACTTAAAATATACACCATATACTTAAAATATACTTAAAATTTACCAATGGAAGAGAACAAGAACATTTTAAGTGAATTTTAAGTATGTTTAAAGTATATGAAATTATACTCAAAACACACTTAAAATATACTATATACTTAAAACATACTTTGATGGTAAACTAGCATACTTGAAATACACTTAAAATACACTTAAAAGGTTACTTAAAACATACTTAATTTCATTCATTATTAAAAAAGGTATGTTTTAAGCACATTTTAAGCACCTTCAAGTAGATTTTAAGCATGTTTTAAATACATT